GGAAAACCCCTATTAGTATATTTTGGTACTGGCAAAGGAGGTTCCCATGATGATGCAATTCTTCTTCTTTGCCTTCTTCGTCAAGTTTTTTTTTCCAAAGAACACAGGATGAGATGTTACTATCCTTTGTGCAAGCACTTCCAAGAGTTCATGAACAGTGAGCCTGGTGAAATTTGGGGAGCGCATCGTCAGTAGTGACCCTTTGGTTCCTAGGGTGTTTCGGCCTTTCATACTATACACCCTCCCCAAAGGCGGCCAGCGACAGGGTGATCAATCCTACGCTTGCGTCCCATTCCCAATTAGTCATAGGAGTTGCCTTGTTGTTGGTAGCCAACATCCCATGGGACTATGAAATTAATTCGGACGTTTCGCTTCATGTGCTGGGAGCTTATTCGGGGGAATTTCATTCAGATATGGAGTTGAATTCAGTTCCTGCACAAGAGTTCCAGCACGAGGAGGGAAATGAAGCGGTTGATCTCGCTCGCCGATGTTTTCAGGGCGTACCGCGCAAGTCCGGCACGTTTTCGGATGTTTTGATCCACCTCCTTATGAGCCTTTTCTTTATTGTAATCTTGGTTTAGCTTTGTTGTTGTTGTTGTTGTTACCAATTGCAATCCCCTTGCTCCATTCAAGTCATACAATGAGATGTGCGCATTTACGTTTGAGATGTGCGTAGCTAGCAGTGCATCATGCCGTGTCAGAGAAGGCTCCACGAAGATGAGATGACAAAACGGAGATCTCAAGTCCCTTCAAGAGGCCCCTTTTAGCCACACTTTGGCCACACTCTTTTAATATTCCCTGCAACGAGTGTTCGGCGCATGTAAATCAAACCGAAATTGTCAATTCTTGTAGATAATGTAAACTGATTTTAGTGACAATGGGCATTTAATTATTTGTGTTGTACAGTCATTATTGGTAACCAGGCTAAGGCCATCAACTCGTTAGACTTCAGATACCGGTTTAACCATGGGCAGATGAAAACTGGATATGAAAGCGAGGGGATATCAACGACGCCAACTTCCGACGCTCTGACCCTCTGGCATTTTACATTTAAACACAAAACCTGGGTCTTGAATCTTTATCAACTCTGAGTTGATTCTGTTTAAATAACCTGGACAGGCGAGGCTGTCTAGGGCGGCGAATGTCGACGGATTCCAACCGCGAACCTCGGCAACAAGTTGGCGAACTCGCTTCCGCTGGACCACAGTCACCGCCCATCATTTCCTCACCGTCACGGTGAATCCTACAAGCATGCATTACGGTATCACCGTAGTTTGGGTCGATTCATATTATCGAAGTCATAAAAAAAATTCACCTGTTAAAATTGCTTCTTGCGCTCACGATCCCAACGCTTCAAATCGTCACAACCCCAGTCGCCGGTTGGGGTTGTGACGGTAGAGGGTGACTCGTTAGAAAGCCTTTACTTTGCGCACTCGAGGGGTGGAGGGGGGTCGAAGGGGGGTGCGGAGGAGAGGCTGGGCAAGTGCAGCTAACGTCGTCACTTCCACCTTCCCAACGGGGGCACCCCACCCACGGCTGCCAGAGGCACGGGAGGAAATGTGCCATCAATCATCTCCCGCTGCCGTGACGGCTTATTGGACGGCCCCAAACTTGAGAGAAAACCTTCGCGCACGTACGTCCCAAAATTCCACGCACGGCTACTCAAGGCTGCTGCCGTGCAGGGCTGAGATGCGACCAAAACAGCGGAGGTTAGTGGTTATAATAAGGCCAGATAGCATCAATGGCACCTACGGGCAGACCATACCCATCTGTCAAACATAGCACCTTCGCGATAGCTTTGCACTACAAGAATGGCAAGAATGTATCAAAAAGTAATTATCATTAAATTCATATTCCTTTAGACGCTCCCAGCACATGGAGAGAAATGACACATCATTCGGAACAACACAAAAAGACTTGGGAGGATCGTACGCATTTTTAAACCAGAGTGACTTCAAGGTGAGCCCTTGCTCATAAGTTCTTGGCTGGCATTGAAAAATAAAATGTTGTGCACAATTCTTACAACCGATGCGACGGTTTACAGTCGGCGGTTTCTGCACCGTGCATGCAAATTCCCAGCGTTTTTCGTACACTACACGAGATGCGATCAACATTGCAGCTGATGGCGGAACAGATAGCGTAAACAGCGCACGGCCTTCCTGTTTCTTAATGGATAAGGAGCTAAATTCATTGTTTTTCCTTCAATCGCTCGCAGATAAGGGGTGCCACAGATTGGCTTTTCGCCGGGGGCAAAACAACTCGCAAAATCCATACTTGCGGCGATGAATTTGCAAAAAATTTGCGTACGATATTTCCCCAGGCTCTATGACCAAATCACCCAGAATGCATCCGTCCGATTACGTCACATCTCGGAAAGACAATCCGGTTTGAGCCTGGACCGCGCTTGGATGGGTGCTGTAGGCTGCTGCGGGGCTACGTTGTTGTCAGCAGAGAAAGGTGCAGCAAAACTAACAGTTATATGTATGACGTAGCCAACCGTTCTAATTGGAGGTGCGGGGAAAAAAAGGGTGTGCTGTACTATGCTCGAATGTCTATATTCCCGCCTCACCCAAACCCTGCATGGACCAGCATGGTAACAGTACGGTATCATAACCCCCATGAGCCGCACGGAGTTTGAGAGTCCTTCATTCAGCAGTGGACAAATAACCCCTCGGACCTGATAATGCACGTTTGTGTTAGCTGGAACCATTAGATGGTTGTGCTTTTGACAAATGTGAGAGATTTGGCGCTCAACACTGGGACCCCGTCAGCGGGAGTTTTTCCAGAAATGAAGGGATTTTTTGTGCTATTGAGCATCAAACAACGTTGTGGTGGTGGTGGCGGCGTGAAAATGCTACACACGTTACCAAATGCACGTGTCAAACCCTTTTGTCAAGCCACCGTTGGATGAGGGCCTCCTCATGCCGTGATGGGTCGTGGGGGTTGTTTGACCATGCTTCACCATGCTTGTCATTATGAGCGCGTGAAGGCGGTGGTGTGTGCTCGCAGAGGCATTATAGAAAGGCGGAGCTATTATCGTTCCGAACAATGCCAACCAGTTGCACATTGTTGTCTGACGTTGGTGCAAAAACAAAAATGATAATAATTTACGGCCCTTTGTTGAATCCACTTCTGAAGGAAGGCCTCTCCCAAAGTGAATTTCCAAAGATGTCAAATATAGGGCCGGCATTGAAAACAATAACACAATTTACATGTACATCGAGGCTGATCCATTCACAGATACCCTACTGCCCACTGATATTTAATGACTCCCTTACTTTATTTCTCCACAGCTGATTGAATATGCTGTGATCGACGGCTAAATATTTCTTTACAGAGGATGGTGCTAAAATATTTAACACGTGTATTGAGATTGCATACCTGTCAACCCCCCTTATCAGTGCCCTACCTATTTACAGACCAATTCAGATCTTATTGGTCACCCCGTGGCCCTTATAAAATCTCAACTTTCATCCTACAAAGTCCCATCACAAGGGAGAAACACAAACAAACAGCCACTTTTTGTGTGCCCGTATTGAAACGGCTGTATGCCGTATGGACCTTAAAATTCTATTTCCCTGTACAAGAATATGGGTAAAGCGTACGAGTTGATAGGTGTGAGATTGATGGAGGCGATTTTTTTTGTCAACAAATTATTAGTTTTTTCTGCTGCTGCTTTGGGTAGTAGTGTGCAAATATACAAACAACAACAAACAACAGCAACTCACTCAACACATTTGTCAATAACACTGCGGCCTTCAATGGAAATAAATGTGTAGCAGGCGACGTTTCAGGCAATGGACCTTCTTCATAGCACAAGGTCCATTTCCTTAAAAGTCACCTATGATGTATTTTTGCATTGAAGGCCGCAGCATTATAGACAAATGTATTGAGTTGTTAAAATTATTATTGTTGTTGTTGCTCTTCGAGTGGGCTATTTATAAATGGATTACCACGTGGTGTTTTTTTTGTAACAGATTAATGCACCAAACTGAAAATTGCACCGAATCCCTTTGACATTTGTGGTGGTTACGGCTTGCCAATGTATATTTACATTCTCACCAAATTGTTGTTTTCCTTTGGCAGAATATACCAGACCCCCCCCCACCCCCCATTTGAAAATAAATAAATGTTTAAAGAAATCAAGGAAAAAAATCCGGGTATAAGATTTTCCCCACTCGCCCCTCCCCCCTAACTCCCACCCACTATATGCATTGTGGAGACTTGCACGCCCAACTGTGCGAGTCAACCTCCTCCGCCACATCCTAGCACAGAGGCTCTTAAACCGTGGGTAGGTGCATGCCCACCACCCATGCCTGAGCGACACGGATACCGTGCAGGATAGATTTAGAACGTGCGCAAAGAACGTCAACGGGAGTCGGGTAGGGTATGGGGAGTGGGTTGAGGATCAGTGATTTTGATAGGGGGTCTGCATATACCAGGGCTGCCACACCAAGTATTGGGCTCGTGTTGGGGTCAATCCATATTCACCCAAAACGCATATGACATCATCACATCTCAGCAGTCAAGCAGGGTTAGGGGTTTGGCCAGCGCTTAGGGGAATACCACGCATTACAGGTGCTATAGGCAGTGGGGCTAATCGTGTGCAGCCGAGGACAGTGCCACGAAGTTAATTTCTTCGCTATGCTAAGCTCCACTGACCAGAGTGGTAAAGTACGGTAAAATAACCCCCATGAGCCGCATCGCGTTGGGAGGTCATCATCCAGCAGCGGATAGACAAAGGGGGCTATGTATGCACATGTGCTCAAGTTTATGAGCACGTGGCAAACACGAGTTAATGCAATTGGCCTTGCATCCCTATGGCCAGGTCTGCTAGAAAGGAGTCTCGGGCTCTCAGCGAGGCTTTCCTGAACGAATCAAGGACACGGCCCGTTGTTATTGTTGTTATTTGTCATTGTTGTTGATGTTGTTATTACGCATGTGACCCGCCCTCACTGGGAGAGTGGAGATAACAGGTGCGGTGCGGGGGGGCGACCCACCTTGCTGTCCCAGTTCTTGTTGAGGTAGTAGATGCACGTGACACAGCGGCCGTCCCCGTTTGGGTTGTCCACGTGGCGAACGTAGCCGGCACCTTTCCCTGGGTAACAGGCCACCATGGCCTGGCGACAAGGGGACGCACACACACACGGCAACTGCAGCATTCCATCACCGACCGCCAATGTTCACGGTGACGGAAACAACCGCGCGACTTACGTGCAAGTGTTACGATTGTTACGGAAGAGGAAATTCAAACACGCCGTCTTTAACCGTCCTACGTTTAATCTTGGAACGCTGAGAGGTCACGGTGTCAACGTATGTGCGTACGCATGTATGTTGAACTTATTTCGCAACGTACGTTGCCAACCGTACTCATTGGAGGTGCGGTCAACGCATCATGTCTACAGGATCTCGGCTAGTTCATTGGGAGTTACGTCCGTCAGCATGTGACTACAGACGTCTCTACTCCTTCAAAGCATGTGACGTACACAAGCGTCACAGCGTCGCGTACACCCGTCATTCATTGCGTGCGACGTAGGCAGCACAGCCTGGCTTCTGCAGTTGAAAAAAAACCAAGCTGGGGCCTAGGCTGGCTAATGGCCTCGGCGTGGTTCGGTTGCAGTGGAAAAAGAGGCGGCAGCTGGCCTAGTAAAAGAGCTACTACGCTGCGACCTACATCAGGGCCACTCTGGTGTTTGTGCAGGAGGCCATATCAGGTGAAAATGCCAAAGAGTCAGTGTGTCGTGAAGCTCCCACCCGCTCTGCCTATTGGGCAAGCGTGCGGGCGATATTCAGCCGGCTAAATGAGGCGTGCACCCTCAGCGCTACGAAATAGAAAACAACGAGCAGAAAAATAAAAAATCAACAACAGTGTGCCAGTATCATCGTGGTCTGCGTCAAAGCCTAATGCCTCATGCGACATCCTGCTGGGCATGAGTGAAATGTATAGAGGACAATAATATTTCAGTCTCTTGTTCGGTTCAAACATGTTTTCCCCCCGTTTTATTCCACTTGTCGTAATTCGGTGTCATGAGGTGACGTGTCCATTCGGAACTCTCCCAGAGCAGTGCATCATCAGCCTGTGGGCCGGAGAACAGCCCGTGGAAGGAAACATCCCAGAACTACTTCTGAACCTCCAATGACCCAGTGAGTTGGCGTATTTTCCCACCCACACCTGCAGAAGATGTGCCATTATGTGACCATCAGGGCAATATTTTTTAATTCTCACAACTTCATTGAGTAAAACAAACTAATGAAATACGATGGCTTTTTAACAGCTTTGTACCAATCTCATCCACTCAATTGGCATCACGTAACGGTTACATATTACGATCCTATAACCTACACAAGTTGACCATAAATTGTTTGAATGCACACGACAGCGGTGCATGTGTCTACAGTGAGTAAATAAAAGATTACGAATCAATTGTTTATTGACATTGTTACCGAGCCGCGTGCGTTTTTGTTTACAAATGTCCAGCCCTCGCTTGAAAAAGAACGTTTTACAAGTTTTACAAGTTGGCCATGCAGAGAACTGGAGGCTAGAATGTACTCTTTGTTTCTCCCCAGGCTGCAGAGTGAGTGCCAGAGGTTAGTTAAGCGAGCATAGTATTGCTTATGAACACGTGGTGAATGTAAGGCCCTTTAAATATTGACTTTTTTTTCAAGGCACGTAAATATTTACACGTAATTGTTTTTGATCTGGCCAAGTGGCTCAGCCGTCAAGGTTAGCCGCTTTTGCAATCGGAAGGTCCGTGAGTTCAATTCTCAGTTGGGGTCTATAAAAATAAGTCAACAGTGGTGTGCCTTTAGGTAGACTCTGCCCCGTTCTAGAAATGTGGAATTACCACCAATGGCTCAGGGCTGTAAACATACGAGCACTGTGTCAACGCTCAATTTAGCGTGCGATCACTCGGACGTTAACTTTTGTTTATTTTACGTACAAGGCCCGTCCCGTCAGTCCACTGCTGGAAATTGACCTCTCCACACTGTGAGGGTCGTGGGGGTTGTTAGACCGTACAGAAACTCCTCTGCTTACAAACGAGTTAGGTTCCAGAGGCCTGTTCGTTAAGTCGATTTGCTCCTAGTACAACTTTACCCCTGTCGATTCCAAACATGTTGTACGGCATGTACACTAAACACAGGGAATGGCTCTAAAAGTTATGTAATCTCCTGTAGATGCCACTGACTCTTCACGTTCTGCAGATGTAGATGCCACTGATTCTTCACGTTCTGCAGACGTAGATGCCACTGATTCTTCACGTTTTGCAGATGTAGATGCCACTGGTTCTTCGCGTTCTGCAGATGTAGATGCCACTGGTTCTTCGCGTTCTGCAGATGTAGATGCCACTGGTTCTTCACGTTCTGCAGATGTAGATGCCACTGATTCTTCACGTTCTGCAGATGTAGATGCCACTGATACTTCACGTTCTGTAGATGTAGATGCCACTGATTCTTCACGTTCTGTAGATGTAGATGCCACTGATTCTTCACGTTTTGTAGATGTAGATGCCACCGATTCTTCACGTTCTGCAGATGTAGATGCCGCCACCGCCATCTATTGCGCGGTGGTTTCAACTTACGACTCTCGGTCCAAACAATCAACTGGACATACGGACAGGTTTGTCCTTATCTCTGAAAGTTCGTAAGTAGATGAGTCCCTGTACTTGACTATGCTGATCAATACAAGCAGGTGCAGGTGGGGAGCACAGAAAACACAGCACGATGATGGACTCTGCTGAACTGCCCTTTGCTGCCCGCTAAGTTCGCCCGGCAGCCAATGACAACCTGGCATGCAAGGTGGTCACCAATCGAACCACTATCCAGGATCAACTCTGCTTAGCTTCATAGCTGTGATGAGATCCGGTATATTCGGGGTGATTTGGTGAGGAATGTGAATGTTATGAACAGGGCAGAACACATGTCCTTTTATTAGTACGTAGGTGATTTATGCTATTATGCAATATGTAAAAATCCCGTTTGCGACCGAACATACCAAGCACTTGCCATGGATTCATCTCCAGATAATAGATTACAGCACTGTTGCAATTATGTCACATTTAAAAATCTCTTTATGACAAACTAATCATTTTCAACTGTGCAGTCGGTCAACCACACACTCGATCATGATAAAATAAATGCCAATTTGGGGAACGTCATCAGTGGCTTTCCTATGGATATTCTCACCCTCGGCATAGGAATGTGGAGTTTTTACACCACTGGTTCTGGGTTGTAAACAGGAGATGAGCACTGCCTCGTGCTTGTTTTGACCGGAAACTGCTATTTTTTTTGGTGAAGCTGATGTTGTTTTTAAGGTACCACACATCCCGAAGACTCCAACGAGCTCACTGTGGCATCCGCCCTGACCCCCTCATCTCCGACTCCACCTCTAGCCCTGCCCGCCCTGCCCTTCCCCAAGATATTTCATATCTTGATGTCCTTAATAACCTCCAATTAACTGCAAAAATGGGTGACTCTCAATTGAGTCCCTCTTTGCTGTGTAGGGTTTCGTGGTCGTGCCAAGAAGCTTTTCGATGTATGCTCGGCACGACGTCTGATAGGATGGGGATGGTTTAGTTTTATTTGTATGTGCTCATGTGATTTGTTTACCTTTCTTGTCCTTTGCACTCCTGCCATGTTTTTGTATTGTTTGTTGTTGTAATGTTGTTCAAATCTGTGAAAAAGAGCTTCATAGTTCATTAGATTCCTCCGGTATAAATACATATTATTCCGATTCTGTTTTGCTCCACGTGCTCAGAGAGCTTCTTAATTTCCCCTGACGTTTTTGCTCCACGTATGTAGTATGTAGAAGCTTTTTTCCGCAGTGCACGTAGCCAACCGTGCTAATCGGAGGTGCGGGAGAAGGACAACTACAGCATGAAAAGCAATTTCAAAGAAATGAGTTTTCAATCTAGATCATTTAGAAGTGCACAGTTCCAGTCGCTAAGCAATATCGGAAGGAAGAGCGTTCCAGATGGCCACAGAAGCGCATCTGAAAGCGCGCGATTGCTGTACATATAAGCAATTCCAAATTCCTCGTCTCCCCAGGACAGGCCGAAAGCGCAACAGGACTCGTCTCAAAGTGGAAGCCAAAGAGAGGCTCTGCTTTACGTTTGTGGGACCCCCCCCCCATCGTGGTAGCAGAGTTGGTGACGGTAAAGGTGCAGCCCTGCAATTGCTTGCTCCACACCACTGCTGGCAGAAGGGCATCCGCCGACGAGAGCGAGCACGAGAGGGCCACTCATGCGGGTACATGGCCTACTCTTCCATACTGGGTAGATGTCTCGGAAGAGGAATCAAACCCAGGCCGCTAGACCTTTATAAGGCAATGAAATAACTTCACCAGCGTGAGCCAGCACACTCCCAACCTGCCCTCCCCCTCCCTCGCACCTCCCCCATCATACGAGTATTCACAGGCGTGCAATCGTCATGCCAAATTCCGTCACCCGAAAATAGTCGTGGCGAATCGCATGGCCTCAAAGTGCCTACGTGAACGCGAGCACCTCTCCTCGGGCTAAGGGTACCGCTTATCTCTCTCCTCCCAGTGGCAAGAAATTCCTCGGCGCTGAGATCTCATCGGCGAACGCTGATAAGTCTGATGGCCGGTTGCATAAAAAAATATCGCAGCTGAAGTGGAATGTCTCCGTAGTTTGCCAATGATGATGCCTTATGGCGAGATGTTAACTTCTTCGCCTGGTATACAAGAAGTCGTGGGTTCAATCCCGACTGATGATGCCTGTATATTTGGAGTTTGCATGTTCTCCCCGTGGTTGCTTGGACTTTTCTCCAAGTCCTCCAGTTTTTTCCCTCCATATTGTGAGGCATCCCTTTACAGTATGTAACTTGTTTAAATTTCCACATAAAGTCACTTTGTTGAGCTTTCATTTGTGGCCAGGTCGCTTGTGAAAAAGAGCTAGACAGCTTAGTGGGCCTTATCTGGTAAAACTATTTTCAATAGATATAATAACTACAAAAATCTCCTTAAGATTCTATCAACGTATTAGTGGCATCCAGGTACCAATGCAAATGACAATATTGTTTATTTTTCAAAGTGACTGGTGTTTTTGCTCCTATTGCTATTTTCTTCATTGCTGCCCTTTATTTTCTTTGTTTTGCTTTCGTC